TGCCAGGGAACAAGGGACAGGCCAAGGGGAAACGGCCTCAAGCTGGGCCAGGGGAGGGTCAGGTTGGCTATTGGGGAAATTCCTTCCTGGAAAGGGTGGTCAGGCCTTGGAACAGGGTGGAGTCCCCATCCCTAGAGGGATTTCCAAGCCCTGTGGATGTGGCACTTGGGGACGTGGGTCAGTGGTGGCCTTGGCAGTGCTGGCAATGGTTGGACCCCGTGGTCTTAAAGGTCTTTTCCAACCACAGTGATCCCACGATCCTATGAAATAACTTAGTATAAAAGCTCAAAAGGGATGCAGGTTTGAAGCTTTAGGATAAAGTGATTTTCTCCCAACGTGAGGTGAGAGCTCCTCCTCTTCCTGCTCCGTTCTGCAGCTGAACCAGCCTTTTCCTGACGCTCCAAGGAATCCCTGGCACAAAACCCAAATGTGTCACAAAACCCTGTGTGGGTTTTGTAATTTCTTTGGTAGCACAGGGGTGGGGAAGTGTGAGGTGGTGGTTTTCACATTGGAGCAGCCCCTGGAGCTCCATCCTCTTTGCAGTGTCTCTGTAAAATACCCACCAGCTCATGGCTGAGTTCCTGCCACTTTGAGGACGTTCTGTGGGTTTTTCTGCCTTATTCTGATCTGTTTATTTATCCTCTCCCTTTGAGGTTGGCCTGCTCTCTTCGTGGTAGGGTTTAACCGTGCAGTGTGTTAGTACAACATGTGTTTCTGCCTTATTATTGTAATTAGCTGACTTAATTGGGTCTCTGCTCTTCCCAGGCTCTAAGCTGAATCTGGGAGAAGATGGTAAAGTATTGTCCATCTTCCTCAGGCATCCAGGCCTCTCCCAGTTGATGGCTCCAACAAGGATGGATGTTAAATGTAGTAACTTTGTACCATGTGATAACTTCGAAGCACCTCAAAACTACCAGAAAGACCCTAAAAATCCCCCCTCTGCTGTGGTTTGTTGCAGGCACAGCTGAGAGCCTTCATCCCCGAGATGCTGAAGTATTCCACGGGCCGTGGGAAGCCAGGCTGGGGCAAGGAGAGCTGCAAACCCATCTGGTGGCCCGAGGACATCCCCTGGGCCAACGTCCGCAGCGACGTCCGCACGGAGGAGCAGAAGCAGCGGGTGAGTTTTCCCCCCCCTCAAACTGCCCTCAAACCGAGCACAGGGGCTTGCAAACAGTGCTCTGGGAGCAGCTCTTCCCTTCGAGGGGCAGAAGGAAGAGGCTTGGCAGGGAGACTGTCCCATCCTGAGCAGCAGGGAGCTTTGTGTTCCAAGGAAATAGCGCGGCGGAGCCGGGAAAAAGGGAAGAGAACGGGGTGAAGGGGTGGGAGGTGCCAGCTGTGGCCACCACACAGGTGATGTTTCTGTCACAAAGGTCTTCAGAGAAGAAGGCCACCGTGGTGTGGAAGCAGCGGGACCTGTGTGGGGTGATTTAGGACCCGTTGGATGGGGAGGGATTCCAGGTGGGGCTGGGAATGGTGCTGTGGCAGTCGGTGCTCTCCTGAACCAGGATGGTTTTCTCCCCAGAATGGTTTGGGTTGGAAGGGCCCTTTTACAGGTCATCTCATCCTGCAGTGAGCAGGGACATCTTCCCTAGATCCTGTTGCTCTCCAGGGTGATTTCTGAGTCCTGGACAAAGGAGGGGATGAGGAGAGGAATTAATTATCGGGGCCTTTTGTTTGCGAGTTGGATCCAAACCATCCAACAAACCCCAGCAAAGACAAACATCCAAATCCCAGCGGTTCAGAAAACCTTCCCCCCCTGACTCTGCCCTCTCCCCCCCTCGTGCTGGAAGGTGTCCTGGACCCAGGCCCTGAGGACCATCGTGAAGAACTGCTACAAGCAGCACGGGCGCGAGGACCTGCTCTACGCCTTCGAGGACCAGCAGACCCCACAGACCACGACCACGCACAGCATCGCCCACCTGGTGCCCTCCCAGACCGTGGTACAGACCTTCAGCAACCCCGATGGCACCGTGTCCCTCATCCAGGTGAGTGGGACCTCCTGCATTTCCCCATTCCCAGCATGGCTGACTCGGGATTTAATCGTCTGCATCGGGAATTTTTAGGCTTTGTCTGCAGGTCTCACCCCTCGGGTTTGTTAAGCCAACACTCCCACCCAGAGAACCAGTTTTATCTCTCCCTTTTCCCCACTCCCATCCCTTGTTCCCATCCCTTGGATTTCTGAGATTCAGGGATCTGAGTTCAATGAACTCAATGAACAAATCCAGTTCCTGATGTCACCACGCAAGGCCTGTGGTGGCAATGGGAGCAGAGGTGGTGGAACTGCCCTCCTTTAATGGCATAAAACCTAGTTTAATTAACAGATCAGGTATTTCTGTGCCCCCTGGTCTTTAGTTTACACCTGGAATTCATTCCCAATATCCCTGCCCTCCAGCCTGGCCTTGGACACTTCCAGGGATCCAGGAGCAGCCACAGCTTCTCTGAGCAACCTGGGCCAGGGCCTCCCCACCCTCCCAGCCAGGAATGCCTTCCCAATATCCCATCTAGCCCTGCCTTCTGGCACTGGGAAGCCATTCCCTGTGTACTGTCCCTCCATCCCTTGTCCCCAGTCCCTCTCCAGCTCTCCTGGAGCCCCTTTAGGCCCTGCAAGGGGCTCTCAGCTCTCCCTGGAGCCTTCTCTTCTCCAGGTGAACCCCCCCCCAGCTCTCCCAACCTCCCCTTGGACACTCCCAGAGCTGGGGCACCCACAACACCCTCATAGCGAAACCCTTTATCCTTTGCTTTTTTTAACCCAAGTGTCTCTTCCCGTGGATTTTATGGCCTCCCTCCTGCACCAGCAGCCCTTTTCAGCCCCGTTCTGTCGTGTCCCTCAGGTTGGCACCGGCGCCACGGTGGCCACGCTGGCCGACGCCTCCGAGCTGCCCACCACGGTCACCGTGGCACAAGTGAACTACTCCGCGGTGGCCGACGGAGAGGTGAGACCCTGGGGCAGCTCTCTGGGGGGAGCTCAGCGAGTTCAGGCCCCTCTGAACCTCACCCAACATTCCCCACAGCCGGGTGGTCCCAGGGAACGCCAAATTCTGGGGGTCAGCGCCTGCGGGAATGTGGATTTCTGCATGAATTTATGTGTCATTTTATACAGAGAGCGATGAGCTGGGGCTGGTTTGACTCTGCAAACCAAATTCAACAAAATTAACAGAATAACCCAGTTATGGCAGAAGCCTCAGGTGTGAATTCTGCACATTTTTATTCATATCCCCTTGGAAGCCTCACGTCTGAATTTCGTCCGGTTTTGTTTGTGCCTCCTTGGAAACCTTAGGTCTGAATTTCATACAGGATTTTTAATGCTTCCTCTAGATTATCTATGTTGTCTTTTGTTTGGCATTTCAAAGTCTGAACTGCCTAAATCTGAACACTTACACTTGCATACATTTATTTTTCCATTTTTTTTTAATCAAATAATAGAGGGGTTTTTTTGATTTGGTGCTGAACTGTTGTTATTTTGACTCAGGGTTTTACAAACACAGTTATGGTGGAAACCTCAGGTCTGAATTTCATACTTTTTTCTTTTTATACCTCCAATAGATTATTTATTTTGTGTTTTTGTTTGCCATTTCAATATGCCTCCTATACATTATCTATTTTGTATTTTGTTTGGCATTTCAAAATCTGAACACTTGCACTTGCATACATTTATTTTTCCACTTTTTTTTAATCAAATAATAGACTTTTTGGTGGATTTGGTGCTGAACTGTTGTTATTTTGACTCAGGATTGTACAAACACAATTATGGTGGAAGCCTTATGTCTGAATTTCATACTTTTTTCTTTTTATACCCCCAATATATTGTTTATTTTGCCTTTTCTTTGGCATTTCAATATATCTCCTATGGATTATCTATTTTGTATTTTGTTTGGCATTTCAAAATCTGAACACTTACACTTGCATACATTTATTTTTCCATTTTTTTAAATCAAATAATAGAGGGTTTTTTTTATTTGATGCTGAACTGTTGTTATTTTGACTCAGGGTTTTACAAACACAGTTATGGTGGAAGCCTTAGGTCTGAGTTTCATACTTTTTTTTAGTATCTCCCATAGATTATCTTTTTGTCTTTTGTTTGGCATTTCAAAATCTGAACTGCCTAACCCTGAACTCTTACACTTGCACACATTTATTTTTCCACCTTTTATCTATCAAATAACAGACTTTTTCTGTGGATTTGGTGCTGAACTGCTGTTATTTTGACTCAGGACTCTACAGATGGAAACCTTAGGTCTGAATTTCATACTTTTTTCTTTTTATACCTCCTATAGATTATTTATTTTGTGGTTTTGTTTGCCATTTCAATATACCTCCTGTAGATTATCTATTTTGTATTTTGTTTGACATTTCAATGCCTAAATCTGAACACAAACTTCTGTACATTTATTTTTCCACCTTTTTTTTATCAAATAATAGACTTTTTGGTGGATTTGGTGCTGAACTGTTGTTATTTTGACTCAGGGTTGTACAAGCACAGTTATGGTGGAAACCTTAGGTCTGAATCTCATACTTTTTTCTTTTTATACCTCCGATATATTATTTATTTTGCCTTTTCTTTGGCATTTCAATATACCTCCTGTAGATTATCTATTTTGTATTTTGTTTGGCATTTCAGTGCCTAATCCT